CACCTCAGCCTCCCAAAGGCGCGGGATTACAGGCTGAGCCACCGAGCCCGGCTTCATGGAATCATTTTAAAGATGGCTGCCAGTCACTGGGATTGCACAACCATATCTGAATCCTTCAGGCTTTAACCCACCTCCCATTTCTCAGATAAATAACTGGACACTCAGATATTAAGGGCCCTGCTCACTGGCTGCCCAGCTTGCAGGGGACAGAGCTGCCCAGCTCACAGGGGACACAGCCACCCAGCTCAGAAAGGACAGAGCCAGCCATCCTTCCCACTGTGGAAGAACAAAGCCGGCAACAGCCCCCACGTTTGGTCCTGGGCTGCTGGGTGAATGACACTCCCTTTGTGGCAGCAGCTCTGTTGGCCAGCAAGGCCTGGCTCCCCGATGGTCCCTGTGATCCTGCAGTAAGAGGAGCCACCCAGACCAAGCAGGGTGACAGCGAGAGGGGAAACCACAGTGGAATCACAGGCTGGTTGTCACCATGGACCCATGTGACTCGTGATCTTGGCTGGGCAGCAGCTGTGCCTGGGGTGCAGGAGGAGGAGGTGCGAATGAGGGAGAGAGGGGGGACAAGAAACTAAGCCCCTGATTCCAAAAGACCAAAGCAGTGGGGAATGAGGGGAACTGGGCAGGGGGTAGCTAGCACCGACAAGTCAAGAAAAACAAAGGTAGCATATCTGGGTCTTGACCTGACCAAACCAGTGTTTCCAAAGCTGCCCAGACAGAGTGACTCTTTTTTTTTGAATTGCGGTCATTCTGTCGCCCAGGTTGGAATGCAGTGGCACAATCACAGCTTACCACAGTCTTGACCTTCTGAGCTCAGATGATCCTCTTGCCTCCAGAGTTGCTGGGATTATAGGCACATGCCACCAGGCCTGCTAATTTTTTTGATTTTTTGTAGAGACAAGATTTTGCTATGTTGCACAGGCCGGTCTCAAACTCCTGGGCTCAAGCGATCCTCCTGCCTCAGCCTCCCAAAGTGCTGGGGTTACAGGTATGAGCCAGCATTCCTGGCCAGAATGTGACTTTTTTTTTAACAAGCCAGAAGCGGAGATAAGTTAACTCTTACGCAGCGGCTCTCAATTTCCTCTGTGCATCCAAGTCATCACGTAGCCAGCCCCAGGCAACGTGCAGTCCAGCCAGGACACACGCCTCTGCACAGAGGCAACCAGGAAGGCATGGGCTCTGGACACCACAGGTGTCACTGTCTCTAGCACCCGAGCTGAGCCCCCAGTGTTCTCCTCACTAACATGGTATATCATGGTTCATGACAGGTCGGCCAGGTATTCCCCGTCCCCCACACTGCCGAATAAACAGTAGCTAACAATACTGACATGACTCTCTCTAGGACTATTGATGATTGGACCCTGGCAGTCCCGATGTACCCAGATACATCCTGCCTGGTCCCTGGTCCGCCTTCCAGGGCTGCCTGTGCAGGCACACGCTGCACTTTTTATGGCTCGCTGCCTCGTGGTTTCCTGGCCTTGTGCAGTGATCACATGAGCAGAGGTGTCCAACTGCTCCAGACAATAAGGCACCGAGGAAGTTGATTTTGCTGTGAGGGCACACAGAGACATGGGGTGTCCAAGCCAGGGGAAGGCCAGACCCAGGGCCCCAGGAAGCCGTATGCCTTCCAGGGCAGGTGGTAAAAGTGAACTCATCCACTGAGCTGTCCTGCCTCCTGCCTTCAGAGTGGGAATCTCACCTCCTGAACCATCAGTGTAGTTGGGTGATGTGATTTTAACCAAGAAAGGCACAGGAAATCTTCTCTGCAAGGATTAAAATTATAGTCAGTTTCCTGTAAGATTCAGAATGGGTCAGAGAATGTTTTCAAGGAGTGTGGGGCAGTGCGAGGCTCAGACCAGGGTAAGACTCACCCAGCCATGACCCACCCTCCTATCAGAGTCTGGTGTTGAGGTCACCGTCCCGACCTTACATCTTATACAAAAAAGAGGAGAGAATGCAAGGACCCTATCCATTTGCTTCCCACACGGTGCACATGAAAGGGAGAAGAGATCTAAGCTCAACACCTCAAACATAGGCGGTTCTGGGTCATGGGGAGGGGAGTGTCCTTACCCTGAACACTCTAGGTCAGGGGGTCTCCAACTCTCCCAGCAGAATCACCCAGGGCATTTAGGATATAACTGATTAGAACCTCTACAGGCAGAGGCTAGGAAACAGTGTTTTAAAACTAAGCCCTCCCTGCCTGGTGCAGCAGCTCACACCTGTCATCCCAGCAATTTGGGAGGCGGAGGCAAGAGGATTGCCTGAGCCCAGGAATTCTAGACCAGCCTGGGCAACTTAGCAAGACCTCATCTCTAAAATACATTAAAAAAAAACAAAACTGGGCATGGTGGTGTGTGCCTATAATTCTAGCTATTTGGAAGGCGGAGGGGGAAGGATCGCCTGAGCCCAGCAGGTTGAGGCTGTGGTGGCGGTGAGAGTGCCATTGTGTTTCAGCCTGGGCAAGAGAGTGAAACTCCGACTCAAAAAAAACAAGCCCCCAAAGTGACTGTGAGCAGCTGACTGGAGAACGGGAGCTACAGCTGATACAGGAGGGAGGGAGACACCGAGATATAGAAGGGCACCTGGATCGGTGCTGGGCATGGTACATGAAGATCAGACAGGGGTCCCAGCGTCACTCAGCACCTGAGCCTCCCCCAGGACCCCCAGTGCTGCTGGGACATCACCCCTCCCGTAGCCACCATCACACACTTTCACCTTTCTCTTCTCTAATCCGTGAAGTCACACCTCATATTTTTTGTCCTTCCTGGTAAAAGGGCCAGCAATTCCAGCTGATGAATGTCTCTTATGCTTCCTGTTTGCTTTAGAGACTTCCCCAGGTTGAGAGTCACCACACAGTCTGGACAGCAAGCTGATTAGGGACACTAATCAGAATGCTGGCCAGAGGAGAGGTGGAGACTCGCTTGCTCAAGGTTAGTGGGGGCGGCCTGAGAACCGAGTGACCCTGCTCAGGGCCCCCTGGAGGTGGCACTGACCAGTGACTATTCACCTATACTTTGCACTGGAAAAAGGCATTCCTGAATATTTAACACCACGAGAGTTGGGCAACAGCAGAAGCGACTTATTAGCTTAAAGAGAAAGATACAAAGGACGCAGGAAGAGAGGTAATTAGGGTCAAAGGCTAAAATGGAAGGTTTTTTTCTTAAAAAAAAAAAAAAAAAAGCCAAATGGTAGAGGCTGGGCACAGTGGCTCACAACTGTAATTCCAGCACTTTGGGAGGCTGAGGTGGGAGGACTGCTTGAGCCCAGGAATTTTAGGTCAGCCTGGGCAATATAGAAAGACCTTATCTCTACAAAAATGAAAAATAAATAAGCCGGGCAGGATGGCACATGCCTATAGTCCCACATACTTGGGAGGCTGAGGTGGAAGGATCGCCTGAGCCCAGGAGGTCAAGGCTGAGATGAGTTGTGGTCATGCAACTGCATTCCAGCCTGGGCAATGGAGTGAGATCCTGACTCAAAAAAGAAAAAGAAAAAAAAAAAAAAAAGCCAGGTCGAGCATGGTGGCTCATGCCTATAATCCCAGCACTTTGGGAGGTCAAGGTGAAAGGACTGCCTGAGTCCATGGGTTCAAAACCAGCTTGGGCCACTTGGCAAGACCTCATCTCTACCATAAATCAAGAAAAATTAGCTGGGTGTGATGGGGTGCATGCCTGTAGTTCCAGCTACTTGGAAGGCTGATGCAGAAGGATCACCTGAGTCCAGCAGGCTGAGGCCTCGGTGGCTGTGAGCGTGCCACTGCCTTCCACTCCACAGCCTGGGCGACAGTGAGACTTCGACTCAAAAAAAAAAAAAAAGCTAAATGGAGCCAAGATTTTGCAAATGTTTCCCACACTCAGATTGGCCAGGAGATGATGTCTGGGTAAACTCAAGACGCAGTTCTTCCAAAACCACCACTACCAGCACACAGGAACAGAGGACAGACTCACAGTAGGACATCCCAGGCTTCTTGCTGGTTGCAGACCCAGAGGAAAGAAGACTCTTGAGGCACCCGAGGTACCCACACACCCTCCCCAGCAGGGCCAGCAGGTTAGGACTTGGGGGATGAACTGGGTTCGGGACATGTCTGGTTCTACCGTCTGTTAGCCATGTGACCTCGGTCCTGTCATACAAGTGGCTGTTATCAGCTTCAGGTCCTTATATACGTGGTATTATTTAATATTAATTGCACAGAGTAGCCGTAAAGGTTACATGAAACAATGCATAGAATGCAGAGCACAGGACTGGGCTGAAGGTAAGACTCCAACATGCAGCAGGTCTGTGACACCAGAGGCTGGCACTGGCTGGCAGAGCTGAAAAGGGTCTTCAAGACCCAACTCTCTTCTTCCCTCTCTTACAGGAAAGAACATGAAGGCGAGGCAAAGTGATCTGTCCAGGGTCACACAGCCAGCTGGTGGTAGAGTCCACGCCTGCCTGAGACTTAACTCAAGCAAGGTTCCCCTATCAGAGACAGAAAAACCCAAGAATATGAACCACACTGGGTGCGGTGGTTCACACCCGTCATTCCAGCACTTTGGGAGGCAGAGGCGAGAGGACTGCCTGATCCCACAGGTTCAAGACCAGCTTGGGCAACTTGGTAAGACCTCGTCTCTATAATAAATTTAAAAAGAAAATTAGCCAGGGGTGGTGGTGCGTGCCTGTAGTTCCAACTACTTGGAAGGCTGAGGAGGAAGAATCACCTGAGCCCAGCAGGTCGAGGCTGCATTGGCTGTGAGCATGCCACTGTACTCCAGCCTGGGGCACAGAGTGATACTCTGACTCAAAAAAAAAAAAAAAAAGAAAAAAGAACCAGGCCATTATATCCCTAAGAATAACGCAACAAGGGCTGTGACCTTCTGTGTATGCTTTAATAAAATGTGGCTTTTAACTGGGGAAAGTGAGTTTTTTTCTTTTGAGTCAGAGTCTCACTGTTGCCCAGGCTGGAGCAGTGGCCCGGTTTAATACCAATGCTTTGGGAAATCAAGGCAGGAGGATCGCTTGAGGCCAGGAGTTTGAGACCAGCCTGGGCAAAATAGCAAGACTGCACCTCTATTTTTTTTTCCAAGTATATATTTTATATATATTAGCAGCCAGGTGTGGTGGCTCAAGCTTTTAATCTCAGCACTTTGGGAGGCCGAGGTAAGAGGACTGTCTGAGTCCAGGGGTTCAAGACCAGCTTGGACAACTTGGTGAGCCCTCATCCTTACAATAAATAAAACTTAAAAAAAATTAAGCCGGGCTCGGTGGCTCAGCCTATAATCCCGCACTTTGGGAGGCTGAGGTGAGTGGATTGCCTGAGCCCACGGTTTGCGACCCACCTGGGCAACTTGGTGAGACCTCATCTCTACAATTAAAAAAAAAAAAAATTAGCCAGGCATAATAGTGTGTGCCTATAGTTCCAGCTACTTGGATGGCTGAGGTGGAAGGATCTCTGGATCCCATCAGGTCGAGGCTGTAGTGGCCGTGAGTGCGCGATTGCCCTCCAGCCTGGGTAAGAGACTCCAACTCAAAAACAAACAAACAAACAAAAAATTTAGTGTTTGGGCTTAACTGTGGTCTAAAGAACTTTAAAGTTGTCTAAGGCTTTGTGACAATAAAAAGAAAAGCCAATATTTATGTCTTTTCAGTGGGGAGAAAGAGGCTACAATGGTGTGATGCTCTGCACTCCCCACCCAGTCCAGAGGCCAGCTGCAGAGGACAAGGGGGTCTAGGGAATCCAAGAGGAGGTGTCTGCTGTGTGGCCAGGACGCTGCAACTGCCACACCAGGACACCAGGGCCTGTGTCTCTCCCGAAGAGTATGACACAGAAGCCTGGCCTGGAAGAAGCACTCTGATGAGGTGTCAAGCCAGGGCTGGGTGTTGCCCTTCTACAGCTATAAGAAAATGACCCTTTTCCAGGAGAAAGGAGGAGTCAGGGCGAGCTGGGCTCCCGACCCCTGTGACAACACTCCAAGCTCCCATACTTGGTGTTGGTTTCATCTCATCCCCCTTTGTAAGATTTCTGGGGCAGTGGCTAGATGTCCCCACCACTGTGAGGCCCCAATGGGGTGCACCAGAGACCCAGGTGTGGCCACCAAATCCATCAATGCCCACAGGGGACCAGCCTGCAGGGACTCTAAGAGCCTTAGAGCCTGGGCACCGCTGCTGAAGACCACACTCAATGTGGGCTGAGCCTGGAACTCTGCCAGGAACAGCTGGGACTGAGCACAGCTGGCTCCTATGGCCCTTTCCCTTGTGCGGGGAGGCCTGCTGTGTTGCTCGGGAGAGATGCCAAGCTGAGGCAGGTGGAAGATGCCCTTGAGGGACAGACCTCCCAGGGCCCTACCCCAGCAGGAACACCACAAAGTCCTTCCCTGAACCCTGCGGGCTTTCCCAACACTCACAATAGACGGTTCCCTGGAGAGGCCCAACGTGGAGCAGAGGCAGCGCCAGACAGAAACATCCACCCAGAGGAAGACTACTAGGGTGGGAGGATGCCTCCCCGGATCTGCTGACACAGCTTGGTTGGTATGGTCTGCTCGCACTGTCCCCAGTGGGGCCAATAGAGGAGCAGGGGTTTGGGTGGCGGGGAGGGCCCAGTAAGGCCCGTCCTGTCGGCTGATTCTCTAAGGTGCTCCGTGGCCCAGGCCCTAATGCTGACCTCCCCAAGGAGGCCTGACCTCCAACTCAGCACCCATAGACAGCAAGTCTGTGGCATACTCTCACCCTCTCGGGCTACTCTCCAAGAAGTTTCTAAGAGCTCAGCTTGAAATCTGGCACTTTTTGTAGTCCAAATCCACACACACCAGCCACAGGGCATGGAGGGGCTGACCACACGGCCATTGGAGGTTCATAGCCCACCAGGCAGAATGCTGGTAAGACAGCCAGGTAAAGGAGGTGCTCTCAGCCCGGCACACACCTGTCACTGTCCTGGAGAGGGGCATGCATCACGGGGAGGCCAGTTGGGATGGATACAGGATCTTGTAGTCCACAATGTTCTCACAACTACCCTGCATTGCTTTTGCTCTTAGGGCATTTCCAGCTGGAATCTCGCCAAGGTGGGGCTTGGCTTCCCGTGTCTTGGGAGGGGCCCTTTAGGGACAGGAGTACCAGCCAGGAGAGCTGCCACTTCTGCTGTTGTTCCAGGCCCAGAAAGACTCAGGAACCTGTGTTGAAAGTCAGGTTCATCAGCAACTCACACCTCTCACAAACCCTTCCTGTCTTTTCAAGTCACAAAACCCAAAACAAAGCTGTTGTAAATCACTGCCCTCAGCTCCTAAACAGAGAGCAGAGGTCATGTCTGAGAGGAGAGCAGGGGAAAAGGAAGGAATCAGGTGTCAGATGCCAGCAAGCCAAACCCCTCCTGCTCAGACACTGTGGTCACAGGCTGCCCCACCAAGAACAAGGTCAAAGTTCTCACCATGAGATCCGAGGGACAATAGTTGGTCTCAGAATCCTGGACACCAAGAACTGTATTTTGTTTTTTGGGATTTTTTTTTGAGTCGAAGTCTTGTCGCCCAGCTAGAGTGCAGTGGCATGATCACAGCAACCACAGCTCACCGTAGCCTTGACCTCCTGGGTTCAAGCAATCCTTCCACCTGAGTAGCTGGGACTACAGGTGCATGCCACCACGCCTGACTCCTTTTGTAAAGATGAGGTTTTGCTATGTTGCTCAGGCTGGTCTTGAACCCCTAAGCTCAAGCAATTCACCTGCCTTGGCCTCCCAAGGGATTATAGGCATGAGCCACTGTACCCAATTAGACTTTTTCTTTCTTAATTTTTGCTGAATAAACTGTAAAACGGTGCCAGGTGAAGACATTGGCAATGGCTGGGCCTCCATGTTTCAGGAGTGAACCACACTTTTACTTGTAAGGCCCCCAAGTTTTCACAGACCACTATAGGGGGTAAGAGGCTGGAGAAATGGGGGGGCGGTCTCAAGGCTGGAAGTGAAAAAGAGAGAAACTAAGGGCGTCATTGGGAATGAAAAGGACCACGTTACAAAATTCCCATGGTGGGACTGTATGATTCCTTTATGCTGACAGCCCGTAATACCAAGTCTGACACCAAGCCGGTGCTCAGAGAGCTGGCACATGACACAGGTACAGCCCGTGGTGGCTTGGCGGGTGGAGGGGCAACCAAGGATTTTATTTATTTATTTATTAATTATTTTTTTTAGTTGGAGTCTTACTCTGTCGCCCAGGCTGGAGTGCAGTGGCACGCTCACAGCCACTGCAGCCTCAACCTGCTGGGCTCAGGCGATCCTTCGCCTCAGCCTTCCAAGTAGCTGGGACTACAGGCATGTGCCACCATGCCCAGCTAATTTTTTGATTTATTGTAGAGATGAGGTCTCGTCAAGTTGCCCAGGCTGGTTTCGAACCCGTGAGCTCAGGCAATCCTCTCACCTTGGCCTCCCCAAGTGTTGGGATTATAGGCGTGAGCCACCATGCTCAGCCCTCAACCAAGGTTTAAACATGCACCACATGCCTGATGTTAGGGTCCCCCAGCAAAGCCATGCCCAGCCCAGGAGCTGCCTCATGTCCCCAGGCAGGACTTGGTGGGTCCCTCCTGCACAAGTGTCGGCGTCAGACAGATGTCAGATCCAGTACTGGAGCCATTACTGGCTAGGGTAGCCCTGTGTCAGGTCCCTGAATCCACAGCCTCACATACAAATGGTGAAACTAGCACCATCCGCCTCCCAGGACGCACTCACGCAAGCTCTCCAGGAATACTCCCTGCGAAGGAAGTTGGCCCCTCAAGCCAGGGGTTCGGACTCCAGGCCCACGACCTTTACCTCGTTTCCCAGGACTCCATCCTTAGCACCCCTTATTTGGAGAGAAGTCACCATGAGACATCTTTCCCCAGTCTCCTAGAACATGTCTGATGTCCTGTCAACAACCCCAACCTCGTATTCCCTGGACACTGGCTCCCAGAACCACAAGATGTGGGGGGTGGGTACCACCGTCCAATAAATCAGCACAGAGTTGAATCCCCCAGCCAGGCAAACTATAACCTCTTTTAAAAAGCCCCACAGCACAAGCCCAAATGGCCTTCCTTCCATCTCAAAGCCTCTTTCAGGAAAGGGAAGAAGTTCAGTTGTGGAGAAGGGGAGGGGACAGGACTAGGGCAGCCGACAAAGAAACCAGAGTTCCTTTTTAGAAACCAGGCTACAAGCCGGGCTCGGTGGCTCAGCCTGTAATCCCTCACTTGGGGAGGCTGAGGTGAGTGGATTGCCTGAGCCCGCGAGTTCGAGACCCGCCTGGGCAACTTGGCGAGACACCATCTCTACAATAAATCAAAAATTAGCCAGGCGTGGTATCGCGCGCCTGTAGTTCCAGCTACCTGGAAGGCTGAGGTGGAAGGATCGCCAGAGCCCAGCAGGTCGAGGCTGCGGTGACCAGGAGCAGCCACTGCACTCCAGTCTGGGCGAAAGAGTGAGACTCCAGCTCAAAAAAAAAAAAAAACAAAAAAACAAAACCAGGCTGCAAACGCGAGAGGTTTGGAAATCGGCATCATTAATCACCATGGCCGCCGTCTGATGCCTCGGAGAGCAGCCAGGGTGAGGGAGGCCACCCACGCCCTTCTCCATGCCTGGGATGCTTCTGACAGAGCCACCTGAAGGGGACACACATGGAGCTATGAATAGAAGGCTAGAGGCTTGTAAACCAGCTCCCCTTAAGATCCCGAGTTAGTGTTTCCAGCAGGGCTCAAGTTACACATTTGCAGAGAGATGACAGTCCCACGGAAGGATTTAAGTTATTCAACAATTCAGGACCACAGCTCAAAGTGACAGCCAGTC